TCGGGCTCCCTGCTTGGTGGGGAGCCTGCTTCTCCCTCTCCCTCTACTGTTACCCCTGCTTGTGCTCTCTCGCTCTGTCAAATAAATAAATAAAATCTTTAATTAAAAAAAAAACCTTTTTTTTTTTTTACATCAGACTTCTTTTTAGGCTGGAAAAAAAAAAAAAACTCCCTTGGATGTAAGTGTTTCTTCACATATACTATATTTCTTTTGCCCTTTATAAAGACCAGAGGAAAGGCAGCATGGCAAAAGTTTAAAGAGCGACTGAAGCTAAAGATTTTATGGTATCTATGTGTATGTTTTGCAGCCTGTGTCCATGGTGGCTCCAACAGCAGTTGCAGAAGCAGGAGCACAGCCTCAGAAGGATGGTGAGAAGCATCCTCCTTCTTATGTTACCATTTCCAGTCCTCTCTATAATCGATCGTAGGGGTTACTATTTCAAAGACTTTCTTAAGAATGTAGGTGTATTTGAGATAGTTTTAAAAAACATTTTTATATATTTCATAACTGAAGAGCATCGATACTAATATCTAGACCATGTCATACTAGCAAATTAATGAATCTTTTATACTGTTTTTTTTTGTTTGTTTTCAAGGGGGACATGCAAAGGACAATGATAGTTTCTTGGAATAAGACCCTTTGTTATTAGTTGGGCCAGATCCTTGCTAAGAGAGATAGGAAATTGAGGCAGGCATACCTACAAAAGTTAATTTACCTTAACCTCTTGGCTTTTGTGACACTAGGTAGAGATAGAGATAATCTTAAATAACATGGATGGTAGAAATACAAATGTAAGATTTTAATCAGCTTAAGCATTTTTATCTATTTCTGGAGTCTTTAGAATTGGCATGTTCATATGTATATTCTCTTTAGGCATATTTCCAGCTTAATTTTGTAAAAATAACCCATACCAACAATTTAAAATTTTCATGAGCATGCACTAGGTCATAAGTTCATATCAACGACTTCTTTTCTAAAGTTTTATTGTGAATCTCTTTTCATGACATCACCAGTCCCCCAGAAACTAGGAAATTTAAAGCTTTTATTTTGTCACCTTTTCCCTTAGAACCATTTATATTCAAAAGTGGAAATAATTCAATATGAGCTATACTTACTCAGTGTGATTTTGTAGAGCACTTGCTTAAATATTTTTCCTTTTTATATAGTTTATTCATTCTCCTCACTATCACCTACATAGATATATTTCCCTGTATAACTATTAGTAAGATTTACCTGGAATGCTCAGCTTTCTTTCTTCCTTAAATTCTAAATTTCACTTCAAACCTCTCTAAAATATTTTCAAGACAATTATATTCTGAATTAGCTCTCTCATTTTAAAAGAAGTGACTTGAAAATCAGTGGAACAGACCAGAAAAGTCTAGAAATGGACAAACTGTAAGAGAATGTAGAATATGAAAAAGGTGGGCTTTCAACCAAAATAAATTCCAAATAGATCAAAGATAGAAAATGATACTGTAAAACAGTACTGTAACAAAACATAAAAGGAATCTTTTTCTTTTTCTTCTCCTTTTTCTTTTTTTTTAACTGTCTAGAGCAAGGTCAACAAACTTTCTGTAAAAGGCCAAGTATATGTTTCAGGTTTTGCTGGCTGTATAGTCTCTGTCGCAATTACTCGAATCTCCTATTGTAGCCCAAAAGCAGCATAGACGATACATGAATGAATGAGTTTTGCTCTGTAGTCTAACAGTATTTATTTACAGAAACAAGCTATGGGCTGAATTTGGTCCATGATCATAATTTGCTGATCCCTGATGCAGAGACCGGTGTTATTACTACATTTAATACTCAGCCCAGAAGCAGTAATAGATTCAAAATTTTCTTCATGGAAAAAATGCCATGAGGTCCAAAGATAATAAAAAACTGGGTTGGGGGGGATGTATTCATATCACAAAAAAGACTAGTAAGTGATAGTATTTCTTACCTCTCACTGGTAAATTCAGAAGTTTAATAGCCACTAGTGACTTGATACAACCTCTTTGGAGATCAGTTTAGTAATGTCTATCAAAGTTTTAAATGGGCATGATTCAGCATGTCCATTTTTAGGTATTTATTCCACAGATCTATAAGAAAATATTTGTTAGAGCACTTTTGTAATAGCAAGTTCTGAAAAACTTAAATGTCCATCAGCATAAGTCTGCTTAAAATGTGGTACATTTGCATACATATAGTAGGCAGACAAACCTAAAACACTATGCAGCCATTTAAAAGAATGAGACAACGATATGGAATGGTGTCCAAGATACATTGTTAAAATATCAAAATCAGTGTTGTATAAAATACAACTTACTAGTTGTGTAAAATAAAGTGCTGGTATATGCCTACATTATCTCCAGGAAAAAAACCTCAAAGGGTTGTCCCTAGAAAGGAGGACCTAAGTGACTTTAAAGTTGCTGAAAACTACGTATCAGTGATTCTGACACCTGTACTTCTTGTTCTAGGATTTTGCCTAAGTATTGCCTAAACCAGTTTGTCATAGTGATTTTCATTTAAAAAGAAAAGACCCATTTGGGTCTTTAATATCCTAGGTAAAATCTCATCCTTTCTCTTCGTTTACTTACATCTATCTATCTTTGAGTTAAAGAATGAGTAATTGAATTCTTACTGCCTGTTAACCATAGTTTTTGTAGTATCTCTTCTGTTGTCCTTGCCTCAGTTTTCCTCACCTGATACATAGTTTTATTTTGCTGTATTTCTAGCCAAAGGGAAAGGAAGCTAACTAAAAAGAGATACTAATTTAAGTTCTTTTTCTCCTCCATGTACTTGTTTCAGTTTCTCATATTGTAGAAGGTCCTGTCCTAGCAACTAGTTCAGGAACTGGTGTTTTCAAGATGGGACGATTTCAGGTAAGACAACCACTTTTCCTTGCCTTGATTTCCTCTTTGGGTGAATAGGTATATAATAAAATGATTACTTAACTTTGGGACATAATTGCCAATTTAATGATATATCTCTTTTGTATAGCTCTTTATCATTTTCCCCTCTTAAAAATAATACATGCAAAAAAAAAAAAAATACATGCTGGGGTCCTTGGCTGGCTCAGTCAGAAGAGCGTGTGCCTCAGTCTCGGGGTCACGAGTTCGAGCCCCATGTTGGGGGAAGAGATTACTAAAAATAAGTAAGTAAGTAAACTTTAAAAGATAATAATAATACATGCCAATTAAAGAAAATATAGAATACTTAGTGTAGTAGAGAAACAGGAAATTATCTGCTCATCCCCCCACCTCCCTTCCCCATCCAGGATTACTTTTTAGGGTGTGTGTTTCCTTCCATTCCTTTTTCTGTGCACATGTGTGTATCTACAGTTGACCCTGCTTCTTCTCTGAATATTTCGTGGCTTCTCCCCCCATCTTTTGTTAGTCATTAGGTTGTTTCTGATTTTTCCAACATAGTAAAGTAACAGGAAACATTTTTGTATATAAAAACACTTTCCATGTTTAGGATAATTTTTTAGAATTAATTTCTGAAGTGAAAGTACTGACTGAGCATCAGGTGACACCATATCATTATATTTTCCCAGCTGGCCCAACTAGTGAAATTTTTTTTTTTTAATTGCTTTCACAACTGCTTTCCAGTTATTCTCAGGATAGCACTGGGTGTTGGGGATAGTAGTGGATCCTCCTTATAGTCCCATTTGGTGTGTTGATTCTTGAAGCTTAGTTGGCATTTGTAGTTTTTATATTTACAAGCAACCTTCAAGATTCTGTTCCCTGTTGTTATTTATATTTCCACAAAGACGTAAATCTAAGTCCTGTGTATAACATGAGATATGAAAGTAAATTATTTACTTATTAGTAAGCTTAGCCAGCTGCTGAGAATCTGTATATCTAATCTATACATCTCAGTACAGATTTGTTGTTTTCTATAATGGTATTCCATTTATTTTCACAGTGAAGATGGAGGGACTTATGTAAAGACATACTTTCCATACGTAAAGACTTATGTAAAGACATCCCAGCCTATTCACTGGAAAATAAAGTAATTTACTTTTTTAAGATTTTATTTTTTAAGTAATCTGTACACCCAGTGTGGGACTTGAACTCAGAACCCCGAGATCAGGAGTCACATGTTCTACTGACTAAGCCAGCTAGATACCCCTCAATTTTTTTTTAAGGGCCATTTTAAAAAATTGAATATTGGAGACTTTGTTTTTTAATCTCAGTTTGGTCTCTTTCTATCAGGTTTCAGTTGCAATGGATGATGTCCAAAAAGAGGGTAAAAATAAGTCAGAAGATACAAAGTCTGTTCATTTTGAATCCAGTACTTCAGAGTCCTCAGTGCTATCAAGTAGTAGTCCAGAAAGTACCCTGGTGAAGACAGAGCCTAATGGGATAACCATCCATGACATCTCATCAGATATGCCAGATAGTGCCCACAAAACTCCTGCGTCGGAAGCAAAGTCAGAAACTGGGCAGCCTACCAAGGTAGGACGTTTTCAGGTGACAACTACAGCAGACAAAGTAAGTCGTTTCTCTGTATCAAGAACTGAAGACAAGATCACTGAGGCAAAGAAAGAGGGGCCAACAGCATCTCCTCCTTTTATGGATTTGGAACAAGGTATTCTCCCTGCTGTGATACCAAAGAAAGAAAAGCCTGAACTGTCAGAGCCTTCACATCTGAATGGGCCATCTTCTGACCTGGAGGCCGCCTTCCTTAGCAGGGATGTGGATGATGGTTCAGGTAGTCCACACTCCCCCCATCAGCTGAGCTCGAAGAGCCTTCCTATCCAGAATCTAAGTCAAAGCCTTAGTAATTCATTCAACTCCTCTTATATGAGTAGTGACAATGAGTCAGATATTGAAGATGAAGATTTAAAATTAGAGCTGCGAAGACTACGAGAAAAGTAAGTATATTTTCTTCTGTGAAAGAATAATGGCAGAACTGTGTTAAGACCTAGCTCCTGGTGCCTAGATTAGTATTCTTTTCACTGCAATATGCTTGTATCTCATTGCTTTTAAAGAGAGGGTGATATGCAAAAGCTAGTTATCTGAATGTAGTTCTCCTTTGGTCTCTTATATTTATAAGGACCCATAGCATTTCTACTTCTAGAACTTCTTCACCTTTTGTTATATTGTTGTTTTTGTTAATAGCGCTCGTTATCATTATTAACCTAATCTAATTTATTTACTAGTCTACCAAATGAATCCAGTAATGGCACTGGGATGTAGATTATGTTGACAGGTTTTATAGGTCATATTTGATAAACTGGATCAAAGTAGCAATTCAGTACTCCTGTGTATAGCCTCCAAAGTCAGGAAACCTTTTCTCCTAACACATTGTCAACTTATTTGTTGTTGTTTAGGAGCTTATTGGAATTTGACTTGGGTAATGGAGGCCAACAATATGAGATGACACACTAGAATTTCAAGGCAATAGAAATTAGGTTAAGTATACTGGGGTAGGGGGGAATTCATGAGTAAGTAATTACTTGAATGGAGGTTAAAGAATATGTTATTAAATCTTATTTGAACAAAAGTGGTTATAATGTTTTTGAATTATGTTTGGTTATCTTTCATAGGCATCTTAAAGAAATTCAAGACTTGCAGAGTCGCCAGAAGCATGAAATTGAATCTTTGTATACCAAACTGGGAAAGGTTCCCCCCGCTGTCATTATTCCCCCAGCTGCCCCCCTTTCAGGGAGAAGAAGGCGACCCACTAAAAGCAAAGGCAGCAAATCCAGTCGCAGCAGTTCCTTGGGGAATAAAAGCCCCCAGCTTTCAGGTAAAAAACCATGGACCAGGTCAGCCTTGGCTGTCCCAGCTTTTGTTTCTGTCTCCAACTCTATATGTAACCTATTGAACATTTGTTGTTTTTGTTAAATTTCAGAGGAGTTTGACTTTCCTAATATTCTTGCTTCCTTGACTTTTACACTCTCCCTGTTTATAGTATCTCTTTTTGTTGAGTCTATGAAAGTAGACTGGATGAGTACAGTGGCTTATTCCATTGTGATCCATATTACTATCTACTGGTAGCCATTTATGGTTGTCCTTAAAGATAAACAATTTAGCATTACCTGGTTACTCCTATAACTCACATTTCACCAAAATCACGGACAAATGAAAGAAAATACACTGTTCTTTGTTTAGTAAAGTTTAGGTAGATTTTTCCTTTCAATGAATGAATTACTCATAATTGCCGCTAGGCTGACTGTAAATTTCATATATGTCTTAGGTGGTAATTTTCTTGATTAAAGTTATTTCATTTATCTATATTGAAGTAAAGAACTTGCTAGTGGTTGTAATAAAAAAATAGTTAAATCACAATATCTTGTAACTATCTTGTAACAAACTACACAGTTTGTCTACCCTTCAGTGAAATTATGATGTTAACAGATAATTAGTTGAAAAGTGAAAAAGCCTGAAATAAGTTTGTACCTCTGTTTGCTCTCCAGGTCTAATATAAATATGTTGGAAAGCAGTTGTAAACTTCTTAGCAGCTTTCCATTCTCCTGGAAGCTTTCAGAAACCCAAACCTCTTCTCTAGCACATTAGAACCAATTCAGTAGTGGAAATGTGATTATAAGGGATATCAGCTAATTTAGATTCTGATCCCAATTTTGACATACTTTTTGAGTGGCCTTCTATTCCACCAATTAGTAGGGAACAGACACGTTCGTCAATTTCAAGGCAGACGACTAGGAAATAAAAGCCACCTGCCACAAATAATTTTAAATATGCATTACTCTGTAATCACTTGTGTCGGTTTTGACAACACTTCTGTATTTGATCTGACACATGCTTGGAAAAAAGACTAAGCAGAGACTGCCCCCACCAAACCTGTTGATGTCCTGCTCCAGCTCAGTGTTTTATAATAGTGTTTAGGAAAGCGATCATGGAATTCTCTCATACCCACTGAATGTTCTCAGCTGAGACTTATGAACCTTCTAGGCTATCTAAAGCTACCTATAGCCCTAGTGCCTGTTGATTCTCATGTCATTCCTCACTTACCCTCCCGTGAGGGAGGCCTTTGTTCTTTGATCAGTTACAGCTTCTGACTTGTGATTAGTCACTTAGTGGGACACATTGGAGTAATGAGAATAGTGCCTAGTAAGGGCAAGGGGAAAGCTGTACATGTTTCCTCATGCTGCTTTATCTTTTGGCAGGTAACCTGTCTGGTCAGAGTGCCACTTCAGTTTTGCACCCCCAGCAGACCCTCCACCCTCCTGGCAGCATCCCAGAGACTGGGCAGAATCAGCTGTTACAGCCCCTTAAGCCATCTCCCTCCAGTGACAACCTCTATTCAGCCTTTACCAGTGATGGTGCCATTTCAGTACCAAGCCTTTCTGCTCCAGGTCAAGGTAAGCAGTCAAAGCAACCATTGTCTTCTAAAAACTGCAGTATCTGTGGCAGAAGCCTGAAGAGTAACTGTTGTTAAGGTCAGTTGGAAAACCAGGTGACCAGAACATAGCCTGTCTGTTGTACCCTCACAGATCTTGAGCTGGAAGGGGAAGTTGAGTAATCATTAGATTAGGTGAACTCATTGCTCTTATCAGATGAAATGGCTTTTTTCAAAGGATTACAGCAAAAAGTTGCATGTGTGACTTATGTGAGGACTTTAACCAAATTAATGACTCATTTGGGATTTGGATCATACACTTTAATACTAGACTGAGATTTCCTGAACCAAAATCAAAGGAGTTTTAGCAGTTTCTGAACGCTAATGCATTTTCTTAGCCAGTGCAGACTTTTTAAACTTTTAAGTATGGGAGTAGCATACTAAGATAAATAGCCCTACAATTCCATTATTTATCTGTAATCTACTTCCTAAATATAGTTTTATTTACTAATGATCATTCGAAACTTTCCTGTTGAGGAGGGAGCTGCTAGCAATAGTAGAACGACAATTGGAAGGACTTAGGTATCTGGGTGAAAAAGAGTAGGAGAAGATATAGGTAACTCGCTTAGGGGCTTTTGCTACAACATCACAGAAATCAAAGATTAGATCGTCTCTTCACAAGGTGAATATACTTGCTTGCTAGGAGTGCAGACCAGCTGGCATTATTCCCACTGGGAGGAGCTTCAGCATTTGACAGAGGGAGGGAATTGAGACCTGATATTTCCTGTCCTAGATATCTGGCCTTTCCCTGGAAGCTTGTTCTTCTGTGTGCCATCTTAGCGCATTTCACCACTCCAGCCTCGAGTTTCTAACATCTTGTAGTTGTGTTCTGTCTCTTCTCTCTCTGTTTTTCCCTGTTTTCCCCCCTCTCACAGGCTGTGCGAAGTTTAACTGTGCATCTGAGCAGGTGACATTCAAACCTGGTGGCAGGAGGACCCGATTTCTGAGTACGCCCTGCTTGGCTCTTTGTGTGTAACACCTTTACTCCTTCCTCGTCCTTGTTTTTCTGCTGCTTGGATCTGATGTTTCATGCAGTCCATTTTCATTTGTCTCTTTGTATATCATCTACTCGGTGGCTTGGCTGAATTACTATTACCCTCAGAAGTTTGGGTCTCTATGTTAATTATGATAAAAGATAAAGAGATAATAATAGGTTTCTATAAGCTTAAAAAAAACCTTTCTGGTAGAAGTGCTTCTTCATAGATCCGTGACAGAGTAGAAAAGGTGGTAATGCTGTAGAGACTGCTGGGTCATTTAGAATAAATGAAGACTGAAGTCCATAGTCACATCTGCCCCTTGCTCTGGCATTAGAAGTGACAGAGAACATCGTGACCACTGATATACTTAGATCCTGGCAGTAAGGGAGAATTACACCCTATTTTTTTATTCTTTTTCCGAGTAGGTTGAAATCTTTTTTTCTTCTCAATTAAGCCTAACCATCTCTCAGTTCAAATGATGCTAGAATCTGTTCATTGGATCCTTTCACTCCCCCACCCCCACCCTCTAACTCCATAAAATTGGTAGTTCAAAAAGGGTTTCCGTATAGTTACTCTGATTAAGCATTTATTCTTTTAAGGACCAAAGCCCAGCACCTGCCAATGAAAATGGTCTTTTTAACATGATTGCTAGGATTTCCTAGCTCTCTTCTTCTTTTTTTTTTTTTTTTTTTAAAGATTTTATTTTTATTTTACAGAGAGAGAGACAGCCAGAGAGGGAACACAAGCAGGGGGAGCAGGAGAGGGAGAAGCAGGCTTCCCGCAGAGCAGGGAGCCTGATGCGGGGCTCGATCCCAGGACCCTGGGATCATGACTTGAGCTGAAGGCAGACGCTTAACGACTGAGCCACCCAGGCGCCCCTCCTAGCTCTCTTCTTAAAAGCAAGGTACAATAGCAAATCACCCAACTTTCTCAGCCTGTCCTCCCCAAAGGTAAAATGAAGATGATGCCTGTCTCCTAGGGCTGTTGTACAAATCAAATGAGATCATGTGCACAAACACGGGCAGCACTTGGGAAGCACACGTCATTTCCTTCTAAATCAGCCAGTGCCTACCTGGCACATAGTAGGTAGTCAATAAATGTATATTGAAATAAAAATTTAAAAAGCAAAAGCAAGGCTCAGGTAGAAAACCTTTGTTACAGTTTGGTTAAAGATCTTCTCTGTTGAGGCCTCAAACTTCTGATGTGGTTATTGAAGTGCTTTTTAAATGCATGTGCAAAAAGGTCATCACTGTTTCTGAGTGTGGTCCAGAGGTCCTTGGGCCTCACGTATCACCAGTCCAGGACTACTGAACAAAAGACGTGGAAGGTGTTACCCAATTTGGTAGCTTTCCAAAGCATGTATGGTTTTTGGGTACTCAGATCGATAACTTTTCTGGTTAGACCAGGCTGGACCAGGCATGTTAGCACCTTGACACTTAAATAAGCATTTAATTTCTTTGTCCAGCTGGCAAGATGAAAAGACATTTAATAGTAAGAGGCAAGTGTTGTAAAGTAGGATGTAACATGTCAGGCCTATATTATACAGCCTGAGATGTCTAAGAGGGAAGAAAGAGAACCAAGGCTTTTTTGGGAAACATAATGTGAGAGATACACTTCAGATTAATTAATTAATTAACTTCTCACACACTCTTAAAGGTAGGTGGTGGCACACTTGTGACATCAAATGAAAGTGGTTAGAAATATTAAATCTTATCACTTCCTTTTGGGTCTAAGAAGAAGGGCCCTACATCTGTTGAAGGCACTTGAGTATATATCATATAAGCCTTGGTGAACAAATTGCAAGAGGCAGATTTAAAGCAAATATGGAAGGGAAAACAGGTACTTAACAGACGTGGGGTCTTTCTAGTTTTGGATGCGTTATTCTGCGCTCTCAAAATAGATAATGGTTTGGAAGCACGGCTTGGCTTAATGCTTTATTTATGTTCAAAAGTTGCTCGTTTTCCACATACTTTTAAAGACTTCTGGAGGGGAAGGGGTTAGTGTGTATGTCTAGGATTTGGAAATATATTAGCCAATTTAAATTGACTCAAAACTGTAACAGTGGTAGTGTCAGTCTCCTGGGGTAGAATTGCTAATGCATCTAATCGAGTGCTTTTTAACAACCCAGCAGGAGAAACAGAAAGTGGGAGAGGGGCAGTGGAAAGACTGCTTGAGTATTTGAAATTCAAGCAGTAAGACCTGAGAGACTGGAGTTCCTCCCCCATCCCAGAACCTTAGTGCAGAGCATTATTCTCAGATACAAAGATTGGGTGTGGAAGCTCCGCTATCAGCCAGGTACCTCCATCCATCAGACCCCCATGTTAAGGCTAAGTAAGATACGTCCCATAGAACTTTACCTGTAGCAGGGGCTCCCGGGTCCCACCAGTCTGTCTCTCTTTCTGCTTTCTCTTGCTGGGACTTTGTGTGCTGTTTGGAGATTCTAAGTATTTTACACTGATGTTTCTTTATCTTTAACACATTGCTCTCTCTTTGTGCTTCAGGGAAGATGGTGAAAAAAGTCTGTCCTTGCAACCAGCTCTGTAGTAATTATCTTTTCTTTCTCTTACTTTTGGTCCTTGATTGCAAAGCCGGTTATCCATGAGTTCTTGGAACCCTGAAGCTTCACAACGTCCTCATTCCCAATTTTCATCTGTCTAGTTCTGCACCCTTTTCTAAGGTTTTTTAACATGCTTAATTGCTGACCACTGGTGGATTAAGAAATCACCTCATAGCCTGCTCTCATGTGATGACCCCCTGTGAGCTGGCTTTGTGACAATTAAGGATTGATAATGCCCATAATATATAGAGAGATCAGGGATGCCTGGCTCTTTTGAGAAAGAGAGTCCTTTAGTCAGGAGATAACGTGCCAGCCGCTGTTCTGCCCACTGGGAAATCGGCACTGATCCAAACATAGAAAAGTCCATAGCCACCCATCATAGTGGGAGACATCTGCTGGATTGGTGAAGAGAGAAGCACTACTTTATAGAGTTGGCTTCTTAGACTGGTGGCTTCTCATTAAAGTGCAGACTGTTCAGCTACCCAACCGGCCGCCTAGAGGGTCAGTCAGAAAACTGACTAGTATTTGGGATACTAGGCAATGAGCTGTGACCCAGAGTAAGTTATTGTTACTAGGATCTGGTGGTGTGGTGTGTGGGAAATGTATTATGGCAGGAGAAAATTTAAAAATGGATTTTGGGTGGTGAAACATACACTACTTCTTAGAGCTTTGCAGCAGAACTGAGAACGGTTTCAAGGTTACTCAGTATATTCTCTGGAAGGCAAGTAGCATTCTCAGAAATACCTGCATTACAGGTAGTGTTCTTAAACCATTTACTACTAAGATGGACTAAATGCACTATCCATTCTCCTAGCTTTCATAGTCAAGTCAGCTTTTGCCAGGCGTTAATTTCTGGCCAGAGTGGGATGTGTTTATTTCCTTTAATGGGAAAGCCTGTTTTCAGAAGCCAGAATGAGAAGGGTAACTGTATGGTTGACCCCTCCCCCATCATGGTGTATAAACCCCACTTCAGAATCCAGTAATGTGTAAGACAGATTAAAATGAAAAATTAAATTTGGTTATAAAGGAGCCTCACGGCATCAGAGGTGACTAGAGAGGTGTGACTCCGAGCATGAGCTCTTTGTGAATAAGCAGTGTTCACCTCTACTGAGCTTCTAGTATTTGGCTTTTAATAGTTCTGCTTACTTGTGATTGTTTCTGGTTTTCATTTTGATTGTCTCACTCATCATCAAGCTCACCAAGCAGTTATTATTCAAACAGGAAAATAGTCCTCATGCATGTGATATGCTTGCTTTCTAGATTTTATCACTATCACGACTGCCACCATCATTGCTTGTGCTTCCCCACCACTGTCTGTCTTGCTTTTCAAGGCAGGCTGTTCCTGTGCTTTTATCCTTTTCCACTTGGGTTTCCTGTACCGTAGGGGAACTTACTCTTCCCTTTACGCTGTATGTGCAGTAGCTATCCCCTTGTGGCTCCAGTGGGCACTAAGAAGTGAGCTAATACACACATTGCAGTAGATCCATGTCTTGCCTTGGTGGTAAGAAGCATGTGACCTTCCTCACTCTGCAGCTTCACCTCAGAATTAGCTATTACTCTAATACAGACATGCTTGTGTGTGCCATTCCCAGGGCCGTGGGGTTTAAACTGGACTTGAGAACAGCAATGGATTATCAAGGGCTTGTAAATGGCAGAGTTGCTTCGGGCATGCTGCTGTGCTCTGGTGCTGCTTGGACCTGGAAAGCAGGAATATGTATGCATTTTTTTTTAGCCCCCAGCGTTACTTGGATATCTGAAGGCCTAGTGGCTCACAACTTACCTTAGTCGCTTTTATTTATTCTGCGGCAAATGTGAGATCTGGTAAGAAAGTGGGGGGTGAGGGAAGAAAAACAAGATCATGACTTTTCTTTCCCTCTTCCCTAAAACTTGCCTCTTCGAATAATCTTCAGTGTGCCCTCCAGCAGAGCCGAAATCAGGCAGGACACAGAGCCTTTCTTCCTTTCTCATCAAACCATAGAAATAGAATTCCTTCATCATAACCTCAAAGCTTCCTCCTTCCCTTTGCACTCCTACCTCAGCTGAATGTTCCTGTTGCTTCCATGTGCGAGTGCTTGCTCTTCTGGGAAGGAAGAGGAGGGGTGAGAATTCACGAACCAATTGAAACTGAGGTCATCTTCAGGAAAATCATGTCTTCCTGGAGTTGAATGATTCAGGCACACCACAGAGAACCTTCCTCAGGAGTAATCTTGGTTCTTAGCTCATAGGCAATTGGGAGAGGTCAAAGCCTTCATTCCTCCCGAGTTTATGTTTATGAATTTGTGTGTATGAGTCCAGGTGAAAAAGGTTTTTGAACAGAGCATGCTATCTCCTCTCGCCTCTTTCTGTTAAAGAATGGCTGCAGACTGTGGCATAGCATCCACATGGTTCGGGAACCCCATCTTTTCCTGGGCCAAGCAGTCTACCTTTGCATTCCTTTAACTCCTGCTTTTAACCCTGCCTCAGGGCTCAAGAAATCCTCTTCTTTTGCCCTGCATTCTGCAGCATTCTAGAGCCTCATTGACCTTAGTGCACCTCCCTCATCAGTGTGGTGCTGGGAATAGGGTACTAAAAGTAAGTTTCAGTCCTCTAAGATACCATGTGAATGGGCTGAAAGAGGTCCCTGCCTGTTTGTGCCTACTATCATCCGGAGTTACTTAGCCTCATCTGCCACAACTCCTGAAGAGAGTCTGTTTTCATTACCCTGTTACGTTATGCCAGAACATGTGGCTAAACAAACCCTTGGACCCTTCCCCTCTCGCATGCCTTCCCAGCTTATCCTCTCCTCATTCAGTGGCTTGCCATTCATCATCCTGTGAAGTTTTCCCTCTTCCTGACGTTCTAACCCAAGCTTCTTATAATGGTTGTATTCTGGTGCTTCCTCTAATTCTAGGGACCAGTAGCACAAACACCGTTGGGGGAGCAGTGAACAGCCAAGCCGCCCAAGCTCAGCCTCCTGCCATGACGTCCAGCAGGAAGGGCACGTTCACAGATGACCTGCACAAGCTGGTAGACAATTGGGCCCGAGATGCCATGAATCTTTCCAGCAGGAGAGGAAGCAAAGGACACATGAATTATGAGGCAAGTCTTCCCTTTTTGTCATTTTCCTAATCTAGCAGAGTATCGCTGAGCACACATCTGAAGCAGAGGTGGTATCAACTACCTAGCTAGTGCTTAGCCTTTCATGCTGTAGCCTTCTGTAGCAGCTCATAAATTTTAACACCCAGTTACCCTTTTATTTGTCTTTGAATCTCTAGCTCCCTGTTTGTCAACTCAGTTTTTTCTCCCCTTTTCTCTTAATGCCCTGAATTGCATACACGTATATACACATGTACGTGACTCTGCCCACTTCCAAGCGCACCCTTACTTGGCAAGTGTAAAGAGCCAATAATTATGAAAGGTTTGGTTTTGGTTTTACTATACCCTGTAAGGCTCGAACAGCCCCAGTTCTAGAATTAGATTTCAGTACCACCCATTTCACCTCTGGGTTATACCCACACCAAACTTGACATGTAGTTGTTTTGTTTTCAGGGCCCTGGAATGGCAAGGAAGTTCTCTGCACCTGGTCAGCTGTGCATCTCCATGACCTCAAATCTGGGTGGTTCTGCCCCCATCTCTGCAGCATCAGCTACCTCTCTAGGTCATTTCACCAAGTCTATGTGCCCCCCACAGCAGTACGGTTTTCCAGCTCCCCCCTTTGGCACTCAGTGGAGTGGGACAGGTGGCCCAGCACCACAGCCGCTTGGCCAGTTCCAGCCTGTGGGAACTGCCTCCTTACAGAATTTCAACATCAGCAATTTGCAGAAATCCATCAGCAACCCCCCAGGTTCCAACCTGCGGACCACTTAGACCTAGAGACATTAACTTGAGTAGATTTGGGGGCAGGAGATGGAATGCTGAAGGGGGTGGGGGGGGACGGGAAAGTAGCCTATATACTAACTACTAGTGCTGCATTTAACTGGTTATTTCTTGCCAGAAAGGAATGTTTTTAATACCGCTTAGAGCCCTCAGAATTGAGAATCTCCCTCCCCCTTCACCATTTATTGGAGTGGAACGAGAAGGAAAGAGCAGCTTTCTTGTGATGGGGCGGCTTCAAACCATGCTTTCCTGTTTCTCTACACCCAATAGTGAGGGCTAGAAAAGAGAATCATTTATCAGAAAGCTACGAGAGAGCTCAGTGGAAAACCAAACCCCATCTGTATTTCAAATGGGTGGAGCTCTTAATTTTGGTACCCACCCCAAATCCCTTATTCCCTCAAGAATCTAAACCACAAGACAAAAAAAAACACAAAAAAATAAAACAAAAAAACTTTTGGGCTCTCTCCTACCCTGTTCCCCCCCCTCCCTTTTTTTTTTCTTTGTTTCTTTTTTCTTTTTTTTTTTTTTTGCTTTAGAACCCAGTGAAAAACACCAGGGGACTGAGGTTTCAACCCTTTCTTATGATAGGTCATTAGTGCTTTAAGCAAATGATATTAGCAGCTTTGACTGCAGCATTAGCAATTAGGAAAAAAAAAAATTAAGTCCCCTGCGGACATGTAACTTTGCCATCAGTTTTGATGTGGAAACACTGTGATATATAAATGTTGTTGGACAACAGTAGTTTTAAGAGTAAAATATGAAAGGTTTAAAAAGTTGGAAAAAAAAAGCAAGCTCTGTCCTTTACTTATTGAGACACTTTAGCTTTTTCCTTTGTATTTCCATTGTAGTAGATAAATAAATGTGAATGTAAGATTGTATAAATTACTGTACTTGAATACTTCTGTTCTCCCAGTATTGCTTGCTGGATATTTTAGTGCCTTGGACTTCTACTGCTTCTGCCATTAGCACCAACTTCTCATCAGACCCCAGATCAGCAGAGGGCATATGGAAGGATATTAGGTCCATGTGACCCCAGCAGAGGATTATGCCAAAGGGAAACTGAGTTGTTGTTTTTTTTTTTTTTAAGTCATTCAGTTTTGTCTAGAGCAGGTGTAAGATGAGCAGGGTGAGAAGTTAAGTTGACATCAGTGGTTGAAAGCAGAAAGTTCTGTTTCAAGAACAGTAAGGAGGGGTGTGGTAACAAAATTGAGCAATTTAAAAGCTTAAGGGTGGTGTGTGATAAATGAAAGAAAAAGAAAGACTAAGAACGGGAGAACAGACTTGTCAGGAAGATGTGTGCTGCCTGGCCCACAGGGTGCCATGAGCCTTACTTAAGCCAGGCTTGACAGACAAGACCTAGTGGAAATGGCTGAATATAAAGGGAAGGGGGTGGGGGCTAGTTTTTAAGTTGGGAAATGTTGATAGTGAAAAGTTACAGATGGAGAAAGATGCTCTAAGAAAAACTTTGGATTGCTTTCCTCTTGTTGCAAATGTATCATGCATTTCTCAGCTTGGGGTACTGTATTTTGTGGAAAGTGGACCCACATCTGAATTAAGCATTGTAAGAAAGAGTGGCTTATTCCTACTCGTTTCCTAGGTGATGTCCAAATGGTTGCAGGATCATAAATCTGTTGTGCCACCTCTATTTCTAGAATTGCAACTGATATTCTCACATTCTCATATAAACAAATACTCCCCTTAAGTAATAACTGCAACCAATCAGTATTATATAGTGCTATGCCTAGTTGTAATGGGCAGTTCTATTATTTTCAGAGCTTTCAGGAAATACTCTCCTAATTGGCTATGTTTGGGATCTCTATTATCTCCGAAGATGGGGAAAGAAGCTAGGACTCCTAATTTTTTGGGTGCTTCTTCTCTTGACTCTTGAGTTGGGAAATTGACACATTTCCAATCTCTTACCCACCTCAACAGCACATCCCAGGAATCACCACAATAGGGGGAGCCTGGTTGGCTGTCCTATCCTGTTGTTCCTTCATGGGCCCTGTTTTCTTTAGTAAGTTAGCCTAGGTCCCAAAGATGCAAGTGAAAGCTGAAGGTTTAGGAAAGTAGAAATGAAAAGGACAGGGGTTCCAAGCCCTGCTTCAAAGTTGTTTACTTATTTATTCTCTGCTTAAGATTCTTGGGGAGATGGTAAGAGTAAGGAAAGAACAACGAAGGTGCCAAGTAAATGAGAAACAGACCACCTAAGATGAATGAAACCATACTTTCTACTAGAGGAACGAGGGAACCAAATGCAGCACATAATTTTTTGTTACTTTGGTTTTATTTTGAGATCACTTACACACAAAAAGTAAGAACTGGTTTTATTTACTGTTGATTTTTTTTTTTCCCCTCCTGTGGATGAAGTAACTGAAGCCTAGAGGAATGAACTAGTGCTACTGAACTGTTTAAATTATTTTTGTGTTAATAGTACACTTTGAGTATCTTTTTCCACATTACAAAAATCTTTCTGAATTATAAATGTTTTCCTTACATTATTTAACAATGTACACTGTTTAAAAAAGCAAATAAACTGAATTCAAACCTTGGGGGTTTCTCAGCAGCCGTTAATTGTACATTTTGCACTAACTCTGGGTGTTGCGCTTCTTGTAAGATTGCGCTTTGTGCTTCAGTTTGTTACCTTTGTAGACTTATTTAATGAAACCATTCAAATAAATCTAACTTGCTTTTGAGCTGTGGGGTTTCATTTCCAGCAAATTCCTTTTTCATGATCTCATTAGCTCAGTTTTCAGTTGTGTGCAATTTATAACTGGATTCCTGACTCCGGGAACTTTTTTAAAGCAGCAGTTCTGAACTAAACTAAGATTATGCTTCAGACAAGGGAGAGATTTTTTTTTTTTGGAAAAAAAAATGGTAAGGATATCAAAACCAAAAGATGAACATATGACCAAATCCATGTAATGAGAGGTGAGATAAAGGGGAAATCAGGGTAAGCTAGAGCCTCTTCATCTTCCATAGGAATAGAAATGTCTGGCTGCCTTCCTGTACTTTAAGAGTTCTTGCCTTGGGTTCATAGTTTCCCACAAATGGATCTGTGATCTAAAAATTAATAAAAGCCACAGCTTGAAGATGAGATAAAAGGCACAGCCCAAGATGCATCTTAAAAAGAACCTGCAAACTCATTATGGGGGTGGGGGGGCGGATTATGAAACATTTGAAACTATGAAAAAAACCCATTTATGTTAAGATGGGTTATATCTCACATCTGAAATGGAGAAGTACACCCACTTTTATTTTTTGTTACAAAGGAAAATTTATTTTGCTTTCTTAAAATGCCTTTTCTTCGGTCTTAGATCATTTCCTTGATTAGGTAAAAAACTGCAGGATCGTGACACCATAAACCTATAAACGTGAGATTATCATAGATGAAGATCGCAGCCTGTATTGATGCAAGGTAGTTAAAAAACACTGTAGCTTTTGTTTTCGGAAGGATACACAATATGGTGTGGACAACATTAAACACCGAGCGCCAAGGTGAAAGGCAGATATTACAATAATTTCACATAGGCAGCTGTAAAAGCTGGTGCTTAGTAATATTGCTTGAAGGCAGGTAGGCACTGGGGATTCCTAAAATTTCTATACATACTAACATAGTAGCTTAGGAATAAATAGTGAAGAACCTCAAGAGCCAAAGAAAAGGTATTTAATCTCAGAGCCTCCCCGCTGCAGTGTATGACAAGCTTTTTTAAAGCGCTTGTTTTCTGACTGCTCAGCTTTACCTACACAAGGCTCCAATAGTCAAATCCTCTGGTAAAGTTCAGAACGAAGCAAGGTAAATCCTTGGAAATAAAGCTCATTCCCTGGGAATGATGAACAGTTTTATGACCTAAAAGTAGTTTTTGAAAGTCCCTTTGTGACAAAGTCCAAGGATGTGACCTGAGCCTCCATTAGGATGGATCCAATTTCCTTTTCTTCAAGTCCTGGTTCTTCCCATAGACACCACAGTTTCCTATGGGAGAAAAAATAATTTAATGTGGCTGCTGTGATTTTTCAAATAAGGAATAAACTGACAGCTAATAATTTCTGAACTGTGTTTGTTAACAATCCCAACTTAAACTAAAAAGCCAAGAATGAAAATTGTTATGAGGGCAGATCCTTCTGTTAACGCTAGATCCAGCTGCAATAACCAAACACGATGGGCCTGATTTAATAAGGAAAAGCTCTTCATTCATTTCGTGGTTAAGCTTCCTACTACTATAAAGGGTTACTAGGGGCTACACCTCTAGTCAGGACCTCAAAGGAAAAGCTGTGGCTCATAAACCAGTTGTTTTCTTGGACTGCTGTTCCTCTGGCATGATAGCACCCAACTTCTTCAAATGGAATGTCATGCTTCCTTTAAAATGCAGAGAATTAAACCCAAGTTCTCCTTTCAATTTTTGTTCCTAAACACTTCGCTACCTGTTACATCTTGGTTGCTGTTGTGAGTTTGGAGGTGCGAGAGTCCAGATTTTGCTTGTGGATTCTGGTGGCAGAGGTTCTGTGGGGTCCTGTCCCAGGTCACCATCTGGTTCTTCAGGACTGATGTAGCAGAGGTCTGGAGCAGTTCTGGTTTAGACAAGGGCTTGACATCACTGTCGCTTGCATCTGGATCCATATCCCACATTCCAAGACTGTCTGCGAGGACCGAGATCATGAGAAAATGCAGCATCAACCAGTGCTCCCACATAAAGCACTGGGGAAAACTGGTCATGAGAAATTCCATGTCGTGCGTGGCCTACAACAGCTCCTGGGATTTCTCTTGCCCCTACCCCTAAAAGTACCGTGAAGCTTCTCTTAGGACAACAGAGGAGTTGAGTGTGTGCTCTCAGAACTGCCATCAGTCCATTAGGGGTCCTCTTTTTTCCCAAAACTTCACGGGGCTATCCAACAGATAAAAATGAGGGGTTTTATGCCTCTTTTAAAATGTGTTAGTGATGGGCGCCTGGGTGGCTCAGTCG